GGTTTGCTAGAGTTCTCTTCTCCCCTAGGGTTTGCTAGGTTTCCGACGGTTTCCTACGTTTTTTCCGGTGATCATCACTGTTTGGCGACGCTAATGAGTACGCTGAGTTGGAACTGCCGTGGCTTGGGTAATCCACGGACAGTTCGAGAGGCGGTGGACATGGTGTCCAAAAAGCAACCCGACTTTGTATTTCTAATAGAAACTAAGGTAGCGCGAGATCATGCTGAGCGTCTTCGTGTTACGATCGGTTTCGAAGGCTTATTTTATGTTGACAATGATGGTTTGAGTGGTGGATTAGCGTTATTGTGGAAGAAGAATAATACGGCGAGACTCCTTAGTTACTCAAGAAACTACGTTGATATTGAGGTAACTATGACAGGTAATCCGGCCTGGAGAATGACGTGTTACTATGGTTATTCGGACCGTAATAGGCGTGCTGAATCATGGGATTTGTTGAGAATGTTGGCGGCAAAATCGAATCTCCCGTGGGTGGTGGTGGGGGATTTTAATGATTTGCTATACCAGTATGAGAAGAGAGGGGGAAATCCACATCCGAATAGCCTTCTTCGAGGTTTTGGGGAGACGATTGAGGATTGTGGATTGGCCCAGTTGCCAATGATTGGATACCCATATACCTGGGAGAAGGGGAAAGGGACTGCAAACTGGATTGAGGAGAGACTTGATAAGGTCCTAGTAACGAACGAGTGGCGCAATATAATTCCCCATGTAAAGGTTATGAATTTGAGAACCAGGAAGTCAGATCATTCAGCCATTTTTTTCACAGTTCAGGAGGAGGTAGGGAGGGATGGGGTTAGAAGAAGGGGTTTTAGGTTTGAGATGGCATGGTTATATGATGAGGGATGTAGGGGTGTGGTGGAGCAGGCGTGGCAGGAAGGGAGAGGGCAGGGTTTACAGGGTTGTGTTCAATACTGTGGAAACCGGTTAACACGATGGGGTGGGGATCGGTTCCATAAGTATGGGAAACAGATTGTGCAGCTGAAACGGGATCAACAACGTTTGAGAGGATGCACTGACTCGGCCTCTCTTGTCGAGTTTCAGCGAATAGAGCAACTTCTGAGTCGCACTGAGGCCCAAGAGGATGCATACTGGAGGCAGAGAGCCAAGCAGCACTGGCTCAAGGAAGCTGACGCCAATACCAAATTCTTTCACAGGTATGCCTCTCACCGAAAGAAAAAGAATACTTTACTTAGATTAATGAATGACAATGGGGATTGGTTGGAGGGGATCCCATGAGAGATATCATTCTGGACTATTTTAAGAATATTTTCAGCTATGGGGGTCCGGGAACTGGAGATGATTTTTTTGGGGGGATAGAACCCAGGGTATCACAGGCGCAGAATGACTCACTATTACGGCCATTTAATCTGGAGGAAGTAAAGGATGCATTGTTTGCAATGTATCCGGATAAAGCACCAGGACCGGATGGAATGAATCCGGGTTTTTATCAGCATTTCTGGGATGTGGTAAGAGGGGATGTTGCGAGTTTTGTGCTAAACTGTCTTGAATCAGGTGACCTCCCGTCTGGCTTGAATGAGACAGATATTGTGTTGATCCCTAAAAAGAGTAATCCAGAGTTAGTAACTGATTTGCGCCCTATAGCACTTAGCAATGTCATTTACAGAATAATAGCTAAAATGATGGCTAATAGAATGAAGCCTTTGATGGAAGGAATAATATCTGAGACACAGAGTGCTTTTATCCCAGATAGATTGATAACAGATAATATTCTATTAGCTGCAGAAGTGGGGCACTTTCTGAATCGAAAACAGTGTGGATTGAGGGGCTGGGGTGCACTTAAGCTGGATATGGCTAAGGCGTATGATCGAATGGAGTGGCCTTTTCTCCGTAATATGATGATGGCATTGGGTTTCCATGATAGATGGGTTGATTTGATTATGAAATGTGTGACCACAGTCTCCTATAGTATTCTGATAAATGGCTCAAGGAGTGACCCAATAATACCCACGCGTGGTTTGAGACAGGGAGACCCGCTATCCCCATATTTGTTTATTATCTGTGCAGAGGAACTCTCGTTGTTACTACAACAGGCTAACAGAGCGGGATTAATTCATGGATGTAGGGTAGCAAGAGGTGCCCCTCAGATTTCTCATTTGTTTTTTGCGGACGATAGCCTTTTATTCTTTAAGGCTAATGTGGAAGAGGCTAATGAGATAAAGAAATTCCTGACTGTATATGAGGATCTATCGGGACAGGTGGTTAACTACCACAAGTCGAGTATTTGTTATAGCAGGAATACGAGTAATGTGGATAGGGAAAGTGTGGCCCAAGTTTTGGGGGTGGAGCAGGCACCAAACTTTGGCAAGTATTTGGGTCTACCTTCGTTTGTGGGTAGGAATAAAAAGGCAGCTTTTGCATATATTGAGGATAAAATACGCCAAAGAATTGGGTCGTGGAATAAAAGGCTATTGTCTCAGGCAGGGAAAGAAATACTGTTGAAAAGTGTGGCACAATCTATGCCTACCTTCTCAATGAGTGTTTTTTTGCTACCTATATCAGTATGCACGGCTATAAAAAGAACGATGAATAGATATTGGTGGGGTTCTGGGACGGACAACCGAGTTCACTGGAAGGCTTGGGACAAGCTATGTGTTCCTAAGAAGTATGGTGGATTGGGTTTTAAGGACCTACGTGCATTTAATCTAGCTATGTTGGGGAAACAGGCATGGCGAATGCTCACTAAGCCTGATTCCTTAGTAGCTCGTGTTTACAAAAGCCGATATTTTCCCAGGGATACTTTCTTTGATGCGCAGGTAGGAAATAATCCCAGTTTTTGTTGGCGGAGTATAATGGCATCAAAGAGCATAATTTGTAGTGGGGTCAGACGAAGAATTGGGAATGGGGAAACTACATCTATATGGACCCATCCATGGTTACTGGATGACCAGGACCCTATGATACAAACAGAGATGCCTATACAGTTACGAGAGGCCAGAGTAGTGGGGCTAATAGATCAACAAACTGGTACATGGGATAATGAAATTTTATCAGATTTATTTCAACCTACGGATGTCGAGAGAATTATGAGAGTACCTGTATCCCGGGATTATAATGATGCATGGTATTGGTACGGGGACCCGAGAGGATTATATTCTGTGAAAAGCGGGTAGGTGGGAGATTATGAGAATAATCAAGGCCCCTTTACTAATTGGTTAGCTTTATGGAGACTAAAAATTCCACCAAAGTGGAAAATGTTCCTCTGGAAAGCTATTTGTGATATTTTGCCTACAACTACGAACTTGCTTTTAAAGAGGGTGGAGGTGAACCCATATTGTGCTATGTGTGGGATATCACATGAGAATACAATGCATGCATTAGTCTTGTGTGATTTTGCAAGAAACATTTGGGATCAATCCAACCTTACAATCCCCAATATTGTCACGGATATTTTTCATGTTTGGTTTGGGGAACTTCTAAATATTTTAGATTCTGATGGAATGTTATATGCAGCATCAATTCTATACAATATTTGGAAAGCTCGAAATGGTGCAGTTTGGGAGGCGTTTTTACCACGCCCGGGGTCCCTACTCAGAGCCGCAGCGGCAGCCAAGACCGCATGGACTCAGTCCCGCCCAGCCGTGGCTGCCACTGCCACTGCTACGCTGCCGACAGAAAACCGCCACGCTGCCCAGGCGAGTCCCACCGCCGGCCGCGGTGCTGCCGACGCCGCCGGATCCTCTGTGCCGCCAGTGAGAAGATGCAGGGTCGATGCGGGATATCTACACGAGACAGGGAATGCAACTGTAGGGGCCGTTTTATTAGATGGAGATGGAGCCTATATCTCGGCACTAACCGCGCCGCTACCGGCCTGTACGTCACCACTTATGGCTGAGGCTTTGGCGTGTAAGGAAGTTTTATCATGGCTAAAGGATCGAGGTGAACAGAATATTGAGATCTACACGGATTGTTTGACACTACAACGCTACCTTACATCATCAACCACTGCGTTTCGCTCTTACGTTGGCTATGCCATTGATAGCTGCAGGCAAATTGCCGTTTATTTTCACTCATGTTCTTTTAATTATATTTCTAGATCGGACAATTATTTAGCTCATGCTTTAGCCACTACGGCTTATCAGCAACCTGATACTATGTACTGGGATACTCACCCACCAGACATTACTTCAGCATTTTTCTAATGAAGCACCGCAGAAAATTTTCAAAAAAAAAAAAAAAAAAAAACGTGAGTAAAAGAAAAAAGAATATCTCAAGTACAATGTGATATGTCTTTCTATAAAGAAGGTTTTAGGTTCGAGAACTAGAAGTGAAATTTATTTGAAAAATATAGTTACTTTTTTTTTAAAAAAAATAACATTATATTTTAGAATATAAGGTCAAAAGTTTTTTTAAAAAATATATAAAAAAAATTCCAAATATGTCAAATATTAAAAATAAATAAATTAAAAGGACTTACGTTAATTGTGTGGATAACAAAAGTGGATAATTACCACTTCATAATAATCACAAACAGATCCATTTTCACACTTCACAAAAAGAAGTAGAGAGAGAGAGAGAGAGAGAGAGAGAGGAGAAGAAGAGAGAGAGAGAAAGGAGTTGTGACGGCGGCGCCCCTCCCCACCCCCACCCCCTACCCCTCAAACCCACCCCACTCGAGTTCCATTCTCATTTGCGCCAGGTACACACAGTGGGGTTTCATAATTTGAGTTTCATTTTCATATATGATATGATATTATGCCCATATCTGTGTATCTTTCTGTATGTCTATATATGGGTATGATTTGCCAGAAAAAAAGCTGTCACCTTGCAATGTTTAAAATCTTCTTGGAATAAAATTGGGTTCGTTCTGGGCGAAGGTTTCCATGGTCTGGGCTTCATGATCTGGAGAATTTGGAGTGGTGAGGAGCTGCTATTTAGCCTTCTTGGTCTATGTTTAGGTATATGATGTTGTACAGCTCTTTCAGTGCTTGGATCACTCAGTTTCTTGCTTGCATGGGGTATGTCTTCGGATTCCACCTCAACATTTTATTTTCTTTTCTTTTAATTGGTAATTAATTTGGAGTTGTTTCATATGTTTAATTTTTGTTTTGGTGGAAACTGGAATTTGGAAAGGATAAAATTAGGAAAGGGGTTGAGGGAAATTGGGGAAAGTTTTAACCTTTCTTCTGTTAATTGGTATTGGGAGTGTAGATTCTTTAATTTTAGGGGTTTAGCAATTTATCAATGTTGAATTTCATCAATCAAGCTGGAATGCTGATTAGCTGCATATATCATACACCCTGTAGTTTAAGAGCTAAGATGTAAATTGTTAAAATTTTAGCTGTTTGGGGAAGCATATTTTGTAGATGGCAAAAGAGGGTAAAGTTTGGCAATATGATATCATGGGATGAAATGATGAATCACAATCGAGGCGAAGATAAGAAAGAAATATACAAGAATTCCAGTCTGAATCTTCTAAAAATTTCTTGGTGCTTGATGTTTTCTTCTTATGAAGAGATTGAGGTTTTTTTTGGGGTTCTTTTTGCACTTGTCTCACCTCTTATATTTTCTTTTCCCTTGCAAAATTATCCTTACATTCAAAATAGCAAAATTTAAATCTTATAAATATGTTAACTTGGAATTAAGGCTGTTCTGCCTATGATGGAAGCTCCAAAGTTTTTAAAAAGATAAAAAAAAAAAAAGTACTTTTTATTGGAATCTGCATAATTATGGGTACTAGTTGTCAGAATTATTCCTCCTGCTTCAGTATAGTCAAAAGAAATCGAATCTTGCAAAACATATTCTGAAATTTAACTCCAATTATTCCCCCTGCTTCAGTCTAGTCAAAAGAAATTGATTCTCGCAAAGCATATCGTGAAATTTAAGTTGACTCCTTTTTCTGACAATAGGCTTATCTTTGATTAAAGTCATGCTAGGAGAATAAATTGCTTAAGTTCAAACATTGTATCTGTACTGAAAACTTACTATTTCTTTTCCCCTTATTTCTAAATCTCTGTTTATAATAGAAGCATGTTCTTTATTCTATCATTAATATTTCTTTTCCATTTAGTGTTTTTCAAAATCAATGTTTATCCTGGAAGCTATTGGGTAGTATGCAGAGAGAGGCTAAAGTTTATACTGGAAAAGTTATGTGAATTATCTATTCTAGTGGTTTGTGTTCCAAATGGCCAAATGGGAATGTGGAATCTGAAATAGTAAGCAGAAGAATACCTCGGGAGCTCTTTATGTCACTGAAATATTTCTCGAGGTTTTAAAAAAAAATTATGAAGAGTGCAATATGATACTCCGTATGTTCTTTATGTGATTTAGAATTTGGGAAAGATGAGAAGCACATATAACTGAATTGAGACTGTAAAAATGGTTGCGTTGCAAGGTGAGGATGAATAGAATGTGGAAAGCATACAAAGATAAGATAATAAGATGCTTTGGGCTTATTGAAAATAGTCTAGTCAGAACCAACTTGGTTGGCGTGAGTGGTCGTGCACTCTTGACCGTTAAGAGAGGTCGGGAATTCGAACCCCCTCTCGTATGGAAAAATTAATCTGGCCAGCACATTGCCCCTTAATTGGGCCGGCTCGGTGTGAACGGGGTACGGGTTTAAAAGTGCCTCCTACAATTAGGGCCTGCTGGACACCTCGTGGTCTGACCAAAAAAGAAAATAGCCTGGTCAGAAGGATTTGTTGGAATTCTAATTAACGGTAGGAGTAGAGAGGATGCCTCTCCCCCACAAAATCATAGTTAGAGTGTGTTTGGTAAGCACCAAAAGCTAGCTTTTGGCTTTTAGAGCTGTTTGGTTTGACAATATTTAAGCTAGCTTTTGAGAAATTACTCGAAGTAGTGTTTGAGAAGCTAGAAGCTAGCTTCCAATAATTTATTCCGGTTTTTGACCGTGCAAAACAAATAGAGAGGATTATAGTGGCGTGTACTTGACAACTCAAGGCCTGTAGTGAGTTTACAATAAGTTCCTTTTCAGCAATTTCGAAACGATAAACTTGTGTTATAATCTTATGACTATTTTTTAGTTATACATTTGAATCTATGTAGAGATCTTAATGCCAAGTACCTTGTGTTTTGATGGCATCACTGTTATCTTTCCAAATGGAAGGTCACGGATTCGAGTCCCATCCCAGTTCAAGGGTCATATTATGTGGAACAACTACTACAGATAGGGTTAGATTGTAATCATAAAAAAAAATGTAGAGATTTTAATCGGTAATGCATGATCTTTCGGCTGGTGATGAGCTAATTCTTATTATTTTGTTTTCGTTAAGACATACTCCATGTTGTCACTATGTATTGTATATGCAAATAAACTCAATTGAAACAGAGCAGAGGTTGCTTTGGTTGCTGCGGAAAATCTCAACCAATAATTGCTGTGGATGAGCCATCGAAAGGGCTGCGAATTCAAGGGAGATTGGTGAAAAAACATAGTATATCGGAAGATTTCTGGAGCACAAGCACATATGAGATGGAAAATAGCACTATTCAATCTCAGAGAAGTCTGTCATCTATCAGCGTTTCAAATCAGATCCTCAGTCATAATATCGGCCCTGGAAGCACTAGCAACCATTCGGAATTTGTAAATCATGGCAAGTTCACCGCATTTTCTAAATCTTCCTTCAATCAAAACACCTCACCACATCTATTTTCCACCTTCGGTTGTTATCTACATTTAAACAAGAGTCTAGTCTTCGGTTGTTATCTACATTTTCGTAAGCCCGCTTGTTCGGTTCACTTTGGTGGCGTCCAAAGCTTTTGTTTCAGGGGAGGGTCCGGTCCAATTTCAAGTGGTCAACCGGTTAGATTCAAAATGGCCTGGTTGTCCACTTGAGGTGGAGTGTTAAGAGTTCCAGATTGATAAAATAAGAGTGAACATATGAGTTTATAAGGTCATGACTAGCTAATTGGTTGGATTCAATTTTTTAGTGTGGTTTGGCCCATGTGCACTCTTAGACGACTTCGTCTTTGCTTTTATATTATTTTAACAGTTAACTGATTTTTCAGGTTATCTTCTTTGGAACCATACCAGGCTTCAGTGGCTTGGAAGTAAAAAACCTGAGAACCAAAGACAAGTTCGGGAGCCAGTACTAAAGTGAGAATCTCACATATTTGATCCAACCCTCTTAAAAACTCCCGAGAAAAATGCCTTTCTTGAAATGGTCCCGCCATATTGTTTAATATCTGTTTATATCACACCATATGTGTCTAGTTAGTCGATCAGGTTGTTGAAGTTCTTGATTTTATCTACCCTGTCTGTGGCTTTTCCCGTCTCTTCGGGTTAATCTTGTTCTTCCTGCTTACACCGTTTCTGATTTGCCATTTTCAGTTGGAATGCTACCTACGATAGCTTGCTTGGAAATAACAAGCGTTTCCCTCATCCAATTCCTCTCTCGGTGAGTTCCCTTTGTAATCAATCACCTACATACATATGCTTATGTATCTATCCATCTATCTATCTATCTTTCCGGTTTCCACGATAATAAAAATGCTACGATGACAGGAAATGGTTGATTTTCTTGTGGATATATGGGAGCAAGAGGGATTATATGACTAACACTGCTGACATGATTGCTGGAAAAGATTTGTGTATAGTTGAGTTCCCATAAGAGAAGAAAGGTGGTAAAATTTTAAACAATGGATTTTTTCTTTTCAAATTTCCTTTTGTTGTCAATTTCAAAAATTAAGTGTTATTGTAAATGCAATGCAAATTTGGGACCTCAAGATTTGAGAAATGCAGCTATTACATAGTATTTGTTCCTTTATAGAATGAATGAATGGTCCAAAAGGAGAAATGCCCAAATTGTTAAGCTCTCAAAATCTTCAATGCCCCATTTCAAGTCAATCATTAGGTGGACCATACTATCAAATAATGTACATTCAGTATACAAATAATGTACTTTTAGTATATTAGAAATGTACATTGTATTCAGGAAAAGTACATTATTTGAGTACTAAAAATATATTATTTTGTATAATGTACATTCAGTACATAAATAATGTATTTTTAGTATATTAAAAATGTATTTTTTAGGGAAAAGGGTCAAATAGGCCCTCGAACTTTAGCTTAAAAGTCAATTAGGCCCCTAAACTTTTTAAAGGTGCAATCACACCCCTCAACAATTCATTTAAGTGCAATGAAGCCCAAAAATAAATTAATGACCTGCTATCACAAGTCATTAGGGTTTAGGTCACCTTCCGGCTAATTTTTTGGCAAAAAAAAAAAAGTGACCGGCGAAATTTCTGACAAAAAAGTGATCAACGAATTTTTCGACAAATTTGGGTCGGTTGCTGGTCACTTTTTTTTTTTTTTTTTTTTTTTTTTTTTTTGCCGGAAAATTCACCGGAAGGTGGCCTGAACCCTAATGACCTGTGATAGCAGGTTATTAACTTGTTTTTTGGCTTCATTGCACCTAAATAAATTGTTGATGGGTGTAGTTGTACCTTTAAAAAGTTTAGGGGTCTAATTGACTTTTAAGCTAAAGTTCGAGAACCTATTTGACAATTTTTCCTATTTTTTAGAGTAAATACCCAAAATGGTCCCTCGACTATAGCTAAATTCATAAATTGGTCCTCGACTTTCAATTTCAACCAATTAAGTCCTTAACTTTGTAATTTTAACACAATTTGGTTCTCTGTCTATTTGACCGTTTGTTGACTGTGATTTTTGAGGATATATATGTAATTTCATGGTCCATCGTCGGTTTTTTAAGGTTCTAGTTGCATTTCCAGACCGCACTGTTACATTTGAATCCACTGTCGAAAGCAATCTACCAAATCCGATCGCCTTTCTTCGTCCTCCCTTTGGAATCAATGTAGTTGAGTTCGTACCAGAGCGAAGAAGACGACGTGTTTCCGAACCAGTGCAACGTCATCCTGAAGGCCTTCACGTGCTCCGACGAGAGCTGAAGGTTCTTCTGGAGATCGTCGATCACGGTCAACAAACGGTTAAATAGATGGAGGACCAAATCGTGTCAAAATTACAAAGTTAAGGACTTAATTGGTTGAAATTGAAAGTCGATGATCAATTTGTGAATTTAGCTATAATTGAGGGACCATTTTAAATATTTATTCTATTTTTTATTATGATCAACATAGCACTGTGAACCAATTTCCACTTATGTGGTGCACATTTGAAGTATTTACAAACCTAATCCTAATTCCTAGTACTTGGAGTCCATGGATTGTATTAATATCTATTTGTTTCATTTTCATGGGGTCATTTATACTTCTTTACAAAATTACATGAAAAATATAATGTTGACAATTTTATTTTTTTTTGAAGGTATAATGTTGACAATTATTTATATAAAAATTAAATAAAGCAATAAAAGTATTGATTCATATATTATTTAAGGATTGCACCCAATCTCAAGGGTCTCATGTGGGACAAACGTTATTTGTGTTCATGCAACTAGTTGGTCTCACTTTTGTTTTTATGGGAGTTTCATGGGGTAAGATATGATTCTATTAAACATATGTCACGATTTACTCTTTTACCTAGAATCTAAAACAAAAATGACCAACATATGACCAACATTGTTGGGAACATTTAATGAGACATTCATTGTGTTTGTCTCCATCAAGTTGTCTCACATTGCTGGGCTAATCTAATTTTTCTCACCTTTTATACTTCAAGCCTTTTTAAAAGGTTTGAAGTGTTATGAAGAGGGAATAAGGAGAAATCTCGCGTGCGTTGCCGTCCGCCTAGCTCGGCCTACTTAACACCTATACTTGCTTGGTCGGTGTTTGGGGACGATGAAATTTTGCCTTTTGTAGACGAAGTATGGCGGCCAACATAACATAGTATTAAGTTTCTTGGGAAAGAAGCACAAGACTCATGCATGGGTGATATTTTAATCTGCATATCCACAGAGCTAAAGTAAGCAATGGGGTCGACCAAAACACAGTATTATAAACAACAATGGCTACCTCGTACGTATAGTTCATCTCAAAGGTCAACTAACTATAATTTCCATTCTGTACTGAAAATGGAAGGTGAGGAGGAGGTTGTACTTCTGGATTCATAAACTTGGTTTTGGTCTTTTGCAGGTTAGGGTTATAAGACAAGTTTTACTGAGAGAGTGCACATTCAAGTAAAGTTGCCGTAATAAATCAAAGATTTTGGTCAACCAAGTTAGGATGTAATTAATTTGTTAGATTCTTTTCATATTTAGTCTTTGTATGTTTCTTGGGAAAGAATTATAGGACTCCCCCAAAGTCCAAACTCTAATAATATTTTATCTTCCATGTCCAATAATGAAAAGTAAGCAATGACGTCCACTTCATCTCTCCAAAAGCACTATAAATATGACTGAACTACATTGAATATATATATATGCATCTCCACTGTATAAACACTTACTGGCCTCTCAAAACAGCATTTTGAAGCCAGGTATTATTATATTCTTAGTATATATATATATATATATATATATATATATATATATATATATATATATATATATATATATATATATATATATATATATGATTTACCTCTCTCTTGTATGGTTTATGAGATATTATACAGGAGCGTTTTAAACAATCACTATAAGGGTATTTGGTAAATAATTGTTAGTTGATAGCATTAGCTGATTGCAGAAAAGTGTTTGATAAATTAGTTGTTAGCTGATAACTGATTACATGCAAAATGATTTTCTCAATAAGCTGATCGAAAAAGCTACATTTTAAAATAATAAGTTGTTTCAAATAAGTCAAAATTGACTTATAAGCTAACTATGTTGCCAAATAGGGCCTATATATACTTGCAGAAATCAAGAAAATGGAAGATAATGTTGTGCTTTTGGATTGCTGGGCAAGTTCTTTTGGAATGAGAGTGAGGTTGGCGCTGGCGTTGAAGGGAATCAAGTATGAGTACAAGGAAGAAAATCTGGAAGACAAGAGTAGACTTCTGGTTGAGATGAACCCGGTTCACAAGAAGATCCCTGTGTTGATCCACAATGGCAACCCCATATGTGAATCCCTAATCATTGTTGAGTATATTGATGAAGTCTGGCATGATGATTTCCCCTTGCTTCCCTCTGATGCACATCAAAGATCTCTTGCAAGATTTTGGGCAGCATATGCTGACAAGGTAAACACATTATATATTTCCATCAATTCAATAGCTACTTTTCTTGAACGGAAAACTAAAAAGTGGTTGAAAATTCAGAGTTTTTGGTCAAAAATAACATTTTTGATCATTTTGAGAATCTAAACAAGTAAACAATTGCTCATTGTTATTATCAATCACACCCATCGAAAGTGATTGGTATCGCTGACCACCAACAAAGGTCATAAAAAAACTTAATTGATTAGGTTGTCAGGCGTGTTTACAGATTTTAGACCACCAATATGGTGGTTAGAATTTCAGTGGAAATTTATTCTCTCAAATGCTCTGTCGAACCAGGGTGTGGAGGCTCTTGGGGTTGGGGATTCAGCCTTTTGAGAGAAGAAAGAATTTCAGTGAAAATTCATCTAATTTTGAGTACAGTTGTCAAAAGTTTGATGTATATTTTATCAATATATAATATATTCCATAGAAAATTACAATAGTATATGTGGCATCCATGTATACAAAGAAAATTACACATGCATGGAAGTCACTCCAGTAATAGCAGGTAATTTATAAGTAAAAAGGTTCTAATTGTATTTTTTTAATAGTTCAAGGGTTCGTTAATATGGATCGAACTTTTTGTAGTTCGAGAGTACAATTTAAGGGTGTCAATGCAGGCCACCCCACCCCACTGCAAACTTTTTTTTTTCGTTGGCCTTTGCCGACCAGCCTGCAGAGCCCGCGGGCTAGGCATATCCAACCCTAACTTGCCTCATGTGGACGTACTCCCTATAACATATTAATTAAATTAATTGCATATCAACCATCAACATTACTATCTATAATCTAATGTTTGTTCAATTCATTTTATAAGCAGTTGTATGGCATTTCAAAAAGATTGTGGATGGGGAAAGGGGAAGAGCAAGAGAAAGCAAAGAATGAATTGATAGAATGCTTGAAGACCTTAGAAGGAGAGCTTGGAGAGAAGGCATACATGGGAGGTGAGAAGATAGGGTTTGTGGATGTAGCCCTTCTTCCCTTCTCAAGATGGTTTTACTCTCTTGAGAAGTGTGCAAACTTCACCATAAAGGATGAATGCCCTAAGCTTGTTGGATGGGTTGACAGATGCATGGAGATGGAGATTGTGTCCAATTCACTTCCTCACCCTCACAAAATCTATGGGTTTGTGCTGAACCTAAAGGAGAAGCTTGGCATTGCATAGTTATCTAGCTAGTATGTCCTAGCAGAAAATTTAATTTGCACCTAGTATTTATATTTATCTTCAGGTTGTTATGATGATTAGATGGTAGTTTGTCAAGATTCTAGTTATCCACAAAACTAGAATTCTACTCTTATTGTGTCATTTATCATGAATAAAGTAGAAAAATTGTGTTAATTTTTGTGATATAAAACTGATGAGTTAGTTTTCGAGAACTCAAGTTGAGTTATATATACTGTAAGTTGATTACCAGGTGAATCCCATGACTCATCAAACCCCAAAACGAACTACTCACACCTAACTAATAGACATAAGCATAAAGTAAACACAAGTATTTAACAAGAACATTGCACAAATAAATAAAAGAGAGAGAAAGGAAAACTTCTCTATTGAAGATATCCAAGTTGAGGTGGAATCCAACTCCAATCCGTGGTTACAAGCTTGATAGATGGATCCCCAATGGAAAACTAGGCTAATCTAAGCTAGACTGATGAACAGAAATGAAGGAAAATAGTTCTCAGCCACCTAGGATTCGAGATGGCTCAAAAACCGTATAGAAAAGTGAGAAAACCAGCTTAAATAGCTGTACAGCAGGTGGCGCACGGGCGATCTCACGCCCGTGCAGGTGCCCGTGCGTAAAATAGTGCACAAATCTCAGATCTGGATTGTCCGGTGACTCTGCAGTGTAGCTTTGACGTCCAGACCGATTTTGACCCTTTTAACGTTAGAACTGGACTATGTAGTCTTCATGAAAGTTGTAGCCTTTCGAGTTTTCTTTCCAATGACGCAAGAATCACTTCATTTGGACACTCCTAGGCTGAGATATGGTCTAATTACCAAACAGTGGTCAATATGTGCGAGAATTTCAACTTCCTTCTCTTTTATTCAAAAAAACCATTGAAGACAACACTCCTTGGGGTCTCTTGGAAGTATTTTAGCTTTCTCTTTAGCTTCTTCCTAGCTCCCATTAACCGCAAATGCATCCAATACGTTCAATTTGACTCCAATACCCTCCAAAGTGCATTAAAATACTCATTTTAGCTTCAAGTGAGAGATATTACACCTAAATGCACAAACAAAGCAAATAAGAGCTCTTTTGACATATATGATATCTACATTTTGGGGCTTGAAAATGAGATTAAACATCGAGTAAAGTACATGCAAATTGTGTACAAAAATACATTTATTAGTTTTTCCCTACTTCCTATACCTGAATGGATGAATACTTACATTCTATTATTATGTTTTCACTATTTCAGGTATTTTAAGTATGTTGGAAAAAATAGCTTAAAATGGCATGTTAAGTGGCTATTTTGTGGTACAATTATCAGTGGGGTCCACTTCCGATTTGGATCGGGTCAAAGTGGATTCGGATTCTTCGTAGTGAGACGAAGAGATCGATATATTGTACGCTCAAAACGGATAATGGGTGAATGAGATATTGATTCTCAAAGTAGATCCATTTGAGTTGGAAAATGAAGGAAAAAAGTGGCTTTTGTCCCACATTGCTTTGGAATGAAGATTTTCCCCCCTTATATACAAGAGCTCTTTTGAAGCTTGTAGAATTGTATAGCATAGAGGCTCTCTCGCGCGGAGGGGGTGGGGGGGGGGGGGGGGTGCAAATCAAGTTCCAACTAGACGAGATTGAAAAAGGCTTGATTCAAGCCCGAGCTCGTGTGCGCCGGCACCTGCGGGCACGGAAATTGGCTGGCCTTGCGGGCTAAGTTATGCCAAACTTCGGTATCATTTTCCAAACATGCCACTTGTAGTTCGGTATCATTTTCCAAACATGCCACTTGTAGTTTCGGCTCCCTGAGCCGTGTCCAGTACTTTCGGCCTTGTGGCCGAAATGTCCTGAACAGGCCGAAAGTTTCGGCATTTGGGCCGAAACTGGGTAAGGTCGAAAGTTGAGACCGAACCCTGTACGCCAACGGTCTGGAACCCGAAAGTTCTGACTGTTATGGGGATTGAATTCATCTGTTACGGAATTAATATCCTATTAACTCCAATTTTGAATTCTGAATTCAATTCCCAGGTAGTGTCCTGCTGTTATAGCTGTTGGAAGGCAGCTTTAATGTCATTTTTAATTGCCATAATAAAGGCTATTGCCTCCTTCAACCCTATATAAAGAGGGTAGAGGCAGTGGAGTTATACACACACAGAAATATAGAACATGAAAGTTCGATTTTTAGCCTCAAAACCTCTCTGCTTCTACTCCTTCTTTAGCCTCCTGTGTTCATAGCCGTGTCTTGCTCGCCGGATTCCTTGTTTGAGTACTCAAACATTGAATCACTAGCAAGTTTTATCCTGGGAAGCCTAGGCCACAACGCTCCTAGCATCTTTGGGAGGTGGCAAATAAGGTTTTAAGGAAAGAGTGCTCACTTGACTCTTGCAAAAAACCCAACACCAAACACTAGCCAAATTTCTTCATCTTTTCTTCCCATCTTTCCAGAAAATAATAGTCATATTTTATTTGATTATTATTTGTTTTCTACCAACAGTTCTAACAAAGTATGCTATTATGAATGTATGACTGTAAACTTGTAAGTTATGTCCCTCAGAAGCTCAAACCCTCAGCCCGTGCTTAGAGAGTGTGGCTCAATGGCTTGGCAACTGTTATGGAAAATAGAATATATATTTGATATATAGAATCCCTATAGATTAAGCAGTCTTAGGGATTTAGGAAGGTAGGGTATATGGAAACTTGTTTTCTATACGTAGTCTTCTAGTACCTATTTATAGGGATTTGTATTCTCTATTCTAAGGACAGTTTGAACAATATACGACAACACATTAGAAACTCTTTCTCTTCACTTTCGTAACATGGTATCTGAGCCTTTATGATAAAGAGATTTTTTTTCTTAACTCCGCTGCCGTCACCACCCATCCAGGAAGCACCACCAGTGACCGTGCCTGCAAATTTCGGTGACGATCTGGGCAGCACGTGAGGCTCACGCACCGGCGCGTGGGGCCTTTCCGGCCATTGGAAAATTTTTTGGTTGGTTGTTTCTGGATCGCCTGAGTCCCCTCTCCTCAGTTTTGGACTTAGTTTGGACTATTGATTTTTGTTTTCCAGTCAGGTTGTTTCGTACCCCTTTAGGCTCCCTTTTTGTGTGGTTTTGTGATCTGTTTTGGTGGGTATGGCTGAGTATAAATATGCTGTTGCTGTTGCCTTGGGATTTTCTGACGAAAAGGGTTTTTGGTGTGTTATTGGTGAGGGGCTTGCGTCTAGGGGTCTTTATGTTCATGGCCTCTAGAAGGATGGAGTCCGTTGTATATTTTAGTGTTGTCTCGTTTTGATGGTGTCTCATTTCGTGTTTTAGTGTTGTCTCGTTTTGTATTTTATATTAGTGCTGTCTCGTTTTGTGTTTTGGTGCTGTTTTGTTTTGGTCCTATCTCGTTTTTGGTTTTGTCTCTTTTGTTTTGGTTCACTCTCTCCTTCGTTTTGTTGTTGTCTCTCCTTTTTTATGCTCGTCATTTGGAGCATACTTCCCTTTTGTTAGTCAAGATACTTCCCGTTTGCTAGTAAAGAATTTGTGTCCTCCAGTTTGGAGTTTGTCTTCTTTACCTTGTGTGTTCAAGCTTGTTCGGTCCACTTTGTGTTCACCCGGAGTTGCGGTATTGGTGGAGTCCAAGCTTCCGGTTCAGGGGAGGGTCCAATCCCAAGCTTGTTCGGTCCACCACGCTGAGTTCACCCAACTGTCCGTAGGTATTGGTGGCGTTCACAGCTTTCGTTTCAGGGGGAGTATCCAATTTCAAGCTTGTTCGGTCACTTTGTGTTCACCCATTGTTCGTGGGATTCGTGGCGTTCGAAGCTTTCGTTGGAGGGGGAGTATGAGTATCCAATCTCAAGCTTGTTTGGCCACTTTGCATTCACCCGTTGTTCGTGGGATTCGTGGCGTTCGAAGCTTTCCTTTCAAAAGAGTGTCCTAAATGGACTTGAGTTATTTGTGATTTAGTTATTTTGGGTTATCACTCATTTGTGTAACAAGTTGGGCATTATTAAAATACTAGTATTTTTTATGCGCGATGCGCAAAAAATAGGTGTCCAATATTAATACATTATATTAAAATTTTAAATTTATTTAAATTTTAGATATTTAAATTATTCTAAATAATAATAATAATAATAATAATAATAATAATAATGTAAATCATTTTTATAAATTTGATATTTATATTTATGTAATAATTAACATATAACTCAAATATTTAATGTGTATATATTATTATTAATGAAGAAGATAAGAAAATATATGGTGGATGCATGTGCATGGTAACAATAGTGGAAAAGATAACGGAAGTTATAACGGTAGGGGTATGTTTGTCCAAAATATTTTAATGTACAACCTTTATAGCATAATGTACAAAAAAACTTAACGAAAAAAATGGACATAAATCAGGGGTATAACTTTCATTCACACTTATTATGTTTTTAGATTAGATATGCTCCAACTTGAGGGGGAGTGTTATGGAATATAGAATATATATTTGATATATAGAATCCCTATAGATTACGCAGTCTTAGGGATTTAGGAAGGTATGGTATATGGAAACTTGTTTCCTATACGTAGTCTTCTAGTACCTATTTATAGGGCTTTGTATTCTCTATTCTAAGGACGATTTGAACAATATACGACAACACATTAGAAACTCTCTCTCTTCACTTTCGTAACAGCAACATTTTACATGTTGTTGCCCTTGAGCCAAGAACTCAGTACTACCCAAGTATTATTAAAACAGTAATCAGTTTGGCCATTTATCTTTACATGGTAACTAATATACCACCGACCCTTAAGGGGCGCAGATACCCTAATTTTTTTTTTTAAACAAATAAATTTGTGATTGTTCTGTACAAAGAATAGTCGTAGAAAGACATGAATAAAAAAAAATTGAGTTAATTACCGATTTTGTCCATCGACTATGAGGATTTCACCAATTTGGTCCTCGACTATCAAAAATTCTCAGTTTAGTCCCCCGACTATGCTTCTTTTACACAAAATGGTCCTCAGTTTAATTTTCTAATCAAACTACAAGGGTAAATTTGGAATTTTAAAAAATCATATTCGGTCAAGTAAGTAGGGATTTGCCAAGGGCCTAGATTTCCATTTTCGGAAATGCTGAAAGTCTGCAACTTGGGTAGACCAAAGAGGAAATCTTGGGGGACTGAGCTGAATTGGTTGTTGTC